TACATTAATTAAAACATTATAAATATGATAGTACTACACTTTGTATGAAAACTTTAACAAAACTGCAAAAAAAACTAATTGACTCGGCTTAACGCGATTTGTTAGTAATTGGATTAAAGGTAATATTTGTAATATTACAATTTATTTTTACTATCAGTCTGAGGCTAAAATTAGATTTATAATAACAAATTTTTGAAACAGATACTTTTGTACAGAATCTATTATATTGATTTTAAATAATTAATATTACCATCTCAGTCTTTAAAATTTTCAGCGCTCAAAAGGAAGAGGAACGTATATTTTAAAAGTGAATAATCAAATCTTTAGTATCTACCAATAACTTGTACCTTAGCATAGGCCCCCTTGCAGCCACTGGCAGAAAGTAATAAATTTTGTTTGATTTCATTTATTTGATTCGACGTAAGTGTCAAATTGCTAATTGTTGCTGCTTCTATTATGCACGTTTGCAATGTTTCTTCATTCAAAGGCTGATAAGGAACAATTAAGCTATCAACCTTTTTATTAGCCAATACTTCATTAATTGAACTTATACTTTGTATTAAATTTATTGTTCTTTCTAAATTATTATTCACCTCCTCTATATTGAAAATTGCTATTACAGTGATACATTTGTCTTTTTTTTTATTTAACACATCTATCATGTTAGAAAAAATATCTAAATTTCTCAGTTTTAAATTTTCCATAATGATTAATTGATACGAATCAAATGAATCTAATATGTTCCTATTGGTAGAATAGTGCAACAACGTATCGTATATAAGAATTTCTTCTTTTACAGGAAAATGTTTTATTATAATATTGGCAGTGTAAGATTTTCCAACACCTGTTCCACCTATAAGGCATAGAACTTTTAAATAGAAAACATCTTGATTTACATGACTAATAATGTTAGAAATTGCATTTTCTTGTCCATGTATCTTCTGCTGTAATTCTTGAGTAGCATTTGAAAAAAACGTTGCACGATTACAGGCAGTAGGTATATTCAAATTTAAAAGCATTGCAAGTATTATTGGAAATAAACATAAAGTTGAGCAACTAAACATAAAGTAGTAACACATATTTCCTTTCTTTTTTGGTGAAATTTTGTTTTTTAATACCAATGGTCTGAATTTATTTTTTATTTCTTGATAAGTCTTTTTATTCACAATCTTTGCGTCACCACTTGTTTTAGTTTCAGTCATTGTTTTCTTAGGATTTCTGAACTGTGCAGAGGAAAAATGATCAACTTTATTTATCGTATTCGCATTTGCTACAGAGCAATGCAATGAAAATTCGGATTCATTTGTAGGATTTACATTTTTAGTTTCATCGAGTAGTATCTCATTAAATTTGTTCGATACAAATTTTGATGCTTGTAATATATTACTGCTTATGCACTGTTTATTGGGAGACGTAAACGAGTCAAAATAAGATTCGGTTTTTATCTGATACTCGTTAGAAATTTTATTGTCAGTTTGCACACTTTCCAATGTTTTTATTTGTCTAAAATTAGGAAAAGTATTCATTATTTGCGTCGCATTATCACGAAATCTTATAACATTATAATTTTTACCTTGCAGTTGTATGCTCGTTAAAAATTTGCTCGCAACTGTACTGTTTAACCAAGTTAGGTTGAGTTTCACGTTCACAGATCTGTTTTACGCATATTTGATGAGAAGATGGCGTTTGGGAATAATTAATAGTCTCCGCAATTTCCCAATCAGTATCCGAATCAAACAATTTCAACGATGCAAAGTGTTTTTCCATACCAATGTATTTGTATATCTCAAAGCTATATGTACAATGTAGTCGACTGTCAAACATAACCCCAAATTCAAAATATTCTCTTCAAACGGACGTGAACAAATCAACATCATTTATGAATTTTCCGTTTTGAAATTTCGTTGATTAAATCATTCTTTTAAGTCAACATTTTAAAAAAACGAATTACATAGAAATTATAATTATTATTATTGTGATAAATACGTTAAAAAAGAAAATAATATCTGTACTTATGTATGTAAATGTAAATAATACAACCGACACACGCACACACACACACGCATATAT